TCTGTGATTCTGTGATTCTGTGAAACTTAAGGGAGTGATACGCTCTGATTGAAATGTAACATTTCAGCTATCCCATTGCAGCTGTTCAGCCGGCTGTGGCACAAATGGCTTTTTTTGGAGTAGAACTGATAAATGTATTTGTTCAAACTTTTCCAAAACAAATGCTGCTGCAAAGAGGTTAGGGTAAAATTTGTTCTCTAAGAGAAAAACAGCACAAGGCCACACAAATCTCAAGTAAGCCTGAACATCTGGCCAAATGCCATAACATTTGAGTGTATCTGAATGGTTTTTTAAAATTATGTGTGTGACAGTCCACATTTGTAGCACATAAATAAACACAATAAACAAAATAAACTTTTGGCCCAAGTTAGGAATGGCAAGACCTCATTCTGTGTAACCTCTCAGGAAATACTCACACAAGCTGTGTCCTATACCATTCTTCAATGAAAGAAATCTGAGAGATAATGGATATTTTTTACATTAAAATAATAATATAAAATTTAAACAAGCCCTCAGAAAATGGCTTATCACACTGGGGAGCGGGACAGATGGGTTGGCATTAAAACACTGCTTGCTCTCCTGTGCGTGCTTTGTATTTTTACTTTGCTTTGTTTTTGCAAACAGTTGTAATAGTCTGTGCCTTTTGCACAGAACCGCTATTTTTAATGAAAAACAAATTGTAAGAAAATATTTAAACAATACAGAAAGTGTGAACTGAAAAGTCTGAGCAGTACTGATGTGTTTGCACATGCATGAACACAAATATGACACATTAAAACCAAGAAAAGCCAACCAGGCAGTGCTAACATGGTGATCTTTTGGTCTGTAGAAATTCAAGCCCTGTTGCTTAGTTTGTGTTTTAGCACTTTCAGAGCTGTCTTCTCAAAAATTGTGTCTCACCTTTTTTTTGCAGAGGAAAACAGGTCGAGAATGAGGACACCTTTTCTGCCAGGTTATGTGGCAAAGGTGTGGACGTACTGCCATATCCTGTTGACTGAGGCTGATGATCTCCTCCTCTGCCTTTTGGGGGCACTTTTTTTCCTTCTTCTGTATAACTAACACCGATGTTCGTGATTCAGGTCATGAGAATGCATGAAGTAGTTTTATTTTGTTAGGTTTTCCTTAGAGAGAGGAATTGTTTTTTTCTTTAATAGACAAGTTTAATATTGAGGTTACAGGTTACAGATATATATCAGAAAAAGATAAAAGCACACACTGCCATTGTGTGTGTATGCAAACACCAGATGATGTTCATAGCTAACAAGAGCCAGTTGTTTTCTCTCTTCTTTTTCCTTCTTGTGGAGGAACCCTGCAGGTTTCAACATGCACTTTAACAGAAAAAAAATCAAATTTTATTTAAAACCTTTACCCACTTGATGCAAATCAGTTGCAACTATATCGTGAGGTCAAGGTCACAGAAACAATTAGTTCTTATGAACCGTTTGAATAAGGCATACAGTCTGAGATGTTGTTGTGATTTTCTGGGAAATGCAAAATCCCTTGTTGGAGAATGTAAGACAGAAAATCCTGGGGTTTTTGTTTCAGAAAGGTACAAGATTTCCGCGTACTTGCAATGTGTATTCTTGCTCTGAAATGTTGTAGATGTTACAGGACAGATTTTTGCCTGAGGAACAGGTGGCTGTAGATGTCTGGGAGATAGGAGTTTAATTTTTATTTTTTTTCTCAATTAAAAATTGCTTTTTGCTAACATGTCTATAGCATAACATAAGCATAAACCTATCTTCAGGCATGCAGAGGTGTGTCCAAAGACATCCAAATTCAGGTTTAATTTTAGGAATCCATAGTCAGCATCTTCAACAGAGAACATGGCACCCTGCGGCCCATCAGCGTTATTCATGCATGATGCTCTAGTTTTGGTAGGTTCACTCAAATAATTTGCTCACAGAGCATCCACTCTGCAGACTCTAGTGAAGATGTAACTCCTCTCAAATGAGCTTCTCTAGGCCTAGTGCAGCCATCTGGAGTCTGACAGAGACCAAGTTACCCTGCTGCTTGGCCCAAAATTTTAACTTGTTCAAAACTCAGCATAGCTGTAGCTGGTCCACTTCCATCACCTGAGCTAAATGAGCTCAGCTCCCAGTGCAGACGATCACACAGCTCTCTTGTACGTAGATGTGAGTCCAGTGTGTTTGGCATTTTAATGACGGGGAGCATGGTTTTTCAAGCAAATCACAAGTTCATCAGAAGACACAGAGGACCACAAGACTTCAAGGTGACCTTTTGTTTCCGGTACAATCCATTTTATTGCAAGGTTTGACACTGCATATGGACAGTAACAAGTTATTTCACTGCAGATCACTGCAGATCAAGGTGGATTTTGATACTGGCTGTTTGCTCAAGTATCAAATTTATTCCTTCAGATATGTGAGCAAGTTCTTTGTGAAGTAGCTCATCAAGGCTACCTAGAGAGATGCTGGTTCATCAGACCTGTTTCAGATACCCACTGTGGACTGGGTGCAAGTCCAGGGGGATAAATTTAGCTGTCTGCGTGGCAGACCTTTACTTTCGATCTAGTGAATCCCTCCCCTAATGTGTGCTAGTGAGCCACCTGGTCTGCAGCAAGGTCCTCTGCATGGCAGAGAGGGCAGCCTACGGCTGCTCTTGGCTCAGTGCAGGCAGCATTTTGCAGAACCCCAAACTATGGTAGTGAAGGAGATGTGAGATGCCCCTCTTCATTCTGAGGAGGGTAGCATAAACTCTGCAGAAATGGAGTTATTAACCCTCTGCACAAATGGGTTTATCTGAAGGAACAAATCTGATCATTGAGCAAACAGCCAGTAATAAAATCTGATTTTTGTTTGTTAGTCACACTGTGTATCTTGAAGGAGAGGCTCGTTTCTACTGGTGAGCAACTGGTTGTACCAGCCACGCCAGGGTGATAAAGCCTGAGTTTTGAATAGCTGTCAGCACAAAGGTATGTACTGCAAGCGGTGCTCAGACACGGATGTTTGCTGAGGGATAACTGCCCCTCTGGAGTGCCACCATTAATTGGATGGGACAGTTGCATAAAGCACCTCAGAACCAGACCAGTCTCCATCCTCTGACAGAGCCCTGAGGCTGTTCCTGTTCAGAAGAAAGGTGGGCTCCAGCAGCAACATGTCTCAGCTGGAAACTGCGATGGGAATGACCATTGCTGTCTTTGACAAGTATGCAAAGGCTGATGGCAACAGGCAAACCCTCACCAAAGCAGAACTGAAGACCCTTCTGGAAAAAGAGTTCCCAAATTTCCTCTCGGTAAGAGACCAGCGTGGCATCATTTCTGTGCAGCGGGTGCAAGGGCTGCCTCCAGACGTAGGTTTTAGTGCATTATAGGCGAAATTTCATCCAGAAATATGCCATTGTTTGTAGAAAAACTTTAAGTAAAAGAGTCTTTGCACATACTGTGTAAAACTGATTCTAACATTCAGGGTCACTCCTTGTTAACTAAACTCATCACTTGAGTTATCAGGACAATGGCTTTGAATTAGATTGGGTTTCATCTTCAGAATTCACCTACTTTTCCTGTTGATCCCTGGATTTGTAAGCTCATGTCATGTCACAACTGCTGTGAAGGTACTTAAATTGTCAGCACTTGAAGATCTTAATTGCAGATGAGGAAATTTCTCTAAATATTTGTACACTTACTTTCTCTAGGTATTTATGCTACATATTAAATATGCATGTCAAAATGATGCATAAACAAGAAATCAGAGCGAACTATTTTGCCTTTGCCTTTAATAGTAAAAGGAAGATCTGAAAAAGTGTTTTACAACATAGATTTGCATGTAATCATGTGTGTTTAACTAGGTTTTATATATTTTTTAATATAATTTATTTTAAGTAGATATTCAAAATGCTTACTATATTATAGTAAAAGTTTTAGCTGCCTGGGAAACAAAATGCTTTTCATCTTCATTTGTTTTTATTTGCTTCCTTTCACTAAAAATCCAGAAAACACTTTTAAATATCTTGTTCTTTCCACACAGGAATAATGTTTATCTGTCTGTATAGTTCTTATTCTTAATTGCAAAAGCCTACAACCAAATGTCCCAAATATGGATACTACTTTTTGTATCCACAATAATTCAATTTTTTAACAACTATTTCAGGGCACTGCAGCCAGGGTACTTGATATAACTGAATATCTTTCCATCCCAGCTATACGAAATCACCACTGGATTTATGACTGTCAAATGAAATACAGACGCAATACTCAGAATAAGAACTTGGATAGCTCTGAGGGAACAGATGAAAATGACTCTGGAAAAAACTCTGGCAAACAGAGCAGTGGTCATGACCCAGAAGCGTCACAGAAGCGACCTGTTCCTGATCACAGAGTTGTTTGTTACCTACAGCTCTTCACGTAAAGAAAACCAAAACCACAGTTCTAAGGGGGCATGGAAATCCCCCAGAAACTTGACTTTTGGTCTAATTAAAGTTGGAGAGCTGCTGTGCTAGACAGCTACCAAATGGATGATGCTCAGAGGTCACTCCTGACTATGGAACCACCTTTTCCAGTTCCCCATAGCTGCTCTTACTGACTCCACATATTTACTCAAACTGATGGAAAACCTGGAATTTTCCAGGAAGATGCTTAGTTGAATACCCTCTTACATTCTAGTCTCCATCTCCTTTTGGCATTTTGCCTATTTTAGGAAAAAAAAATAGCACAAAATAACATTTTATGCAAGCATTTTAAATAAATTTAAACCAACAATGTCCTGTCTTGCAGACTGATATCTGCAAGAAAGAAACTGAGAACAGAGGCTGACTTCAGAAAAAAAGTTTTATCTGCATTATCCTGACACTTACATCCGTATTTTTTTTTATTTGCAAGAAAGTTCTGGAAAACAGAGCCTTTAAAATACTCGTGTATATTTCTGGCCTCAGAACTGATAGTAGCTGACACAGCTCATAAATCTCTGGCAGAGATAAATCAATCTGAGGCAGAAATAAATTCTTACCATAGTACTGAAGGTCTGGACTGGGTTATAAAGAGCTTTCAAAAAATAATCCCCACATGTGCATTTAAGAAGTAATTCACAGCCTAAAACTAGTTCATATATTTCACTAAATGATTTAAAATATTGACTTATAAAATTAAAACTGATTATAATTTGCAAAGTGAAAAGGAATAAACCTTCCAGATATTCAGTTAAATCCAGGGAACTGACTCATTTCTTACTGATTTTAAAAGTGCATACATTTAAAGTGAAACATGAAATTACAGAATGAAAAATTTAGTTAATTAGACCATGATCAAGAATTGCCTTCAGATTTCAATTAAGGTAGTAATTATTTTAAATTTGTATAAATTTCCCAAAATTTTATATATTGTTTTCTAGGATGACATTAGAGTTATTTTTTGTTTACCTGCAACAAAATCCAGTTGTTTCCTGTATTAGATAGGTCTCTACTGCCACCCCCTGTTTATTTTTAAAAATGCGTTTTCTAAAAATCACTGGAGTTAATCAGTGCCAGGAGTAAAGCCAAAAAGCCCCCTTTTCTTTTAGAAAAAAAATTTTTTTTTGTTTTGTATTTTGGCAAAATTAAAAAAAAGATTCACTTGGATGATGCCTCAGCCTCGAGACTGACTGCTTCAGTCACCCCTTCAGAGTTACGACAACTTAGACAGAAAAGGATTTTTCTGATATTTTTCCCTACCGTAACTGCAGCTCAGCATCCCGCTTGCTTCAGGAAGTGCCTTCCCAGCCACCAGCTCCTGCAAGCAGCTTGTGCTGGGCCCCAAGGCCAGAGGAAGCACTTGAAGCACGTTTGAGGCTGTTTGCATCTTTGCTGAGGCAGCAGTGTTTAATGAAGCTTAAATTCGACATTTGCCTGAGGAAAGCATCATTTTGTGGAACTGCAAACTGCCCAAGCTCCAGCCGAGCCTTTCTAAGGCAGTGGGTGGAGAATGCATGGCATTGAATTCAGCTGGGTAATGGCCTCAGGGCTTTGCATTACACAGCTTTAATCATGATAAATGTTGTTTTAAACATAGAAAACATGCTGGTGCATGACCGCAGCTCTCAGGTGTAATAAGCCCGGGAGATCAAGCTTTGCAGAGGTTTGGAAGATGTACATCTGTGCCCATGCTGTGAGGATACTGAGCCTCATGTTTGGTCCCACTGCCATCCAGAGGCCCCAACCTGGGCCTGAGGCCAGCAGTGACATAAAGACCCGCAGTTAGAATGTGCTTTTCAGGCAGCTGGAGGAGATGTGTGGCTCCCACTGAGATGGGCAGGCAGAGATATCACAGGCCCATGCAGCCCCACTGGAGCAGCTGGCCAAACACGGTGCACATGAACTTATGGCTTTGTACCCAGACACATAATGCACAAAACAAGCAAAGAGAAGGAAAAATTAAAAGCAACTAAAAATGTGATAACCTGATATTCTGGGCAGGCCGATGGCAGGGCTGCATGCAGAAGCTGCTACACCCCCATCACACCCCCAACTCCCAGACAACTCAGTTGCAATCCCCCATGGAAAGGTGCAATGCATCCAAGACTACATTAGCCTCACACTCCCCAGGTGCTCCCACACGCCTCAGTGAGGGCCCAGAGCCCACCCTCCCCAGGCCCTTGTTCAGGGTATGGGTCGTGATGCTGCTGCATTAGGATTTGCACCACCTCTCACCCTGCCCTGCTCTTTTTCTTTTGCAGGCAGGGAAGGACAGGGATGCCATTGATAAAATCTTCAAGAGCCTGGATGAAAATGGCGATTCTGAAGTGGACTTCAAAGAATTTATCATCTTTCTTGCAGCTCTGACTTGCTTATGTCACAAATATTTTGAGCAGAATGCAGCCAAATAATTGTCAAACTGCTCACAGAAGCCGCCTTTGCCTGTGCTCCATACGCTGGTGGTATGGATCCCATCACTTCTGCCGTGTACTGCCATTCCATTTACAAGCATGCTGGGCTGTAAAAATAAATCTTACTGTGCTTACTTCCCTGTCTTGAATGTTAATTTCTGCTCCTTTGTGGTAAAGCCCGGTTTAACAGCTCCCACTAACTCATATTGAGTCGTTCCCCTCTTTCTCTGCTTTTAAAAATTCTATTCTTAGCCAAAAGGCTCGATATTTATCTCAGCGCAGAGGCTGCACAACGGTAAGTGCTGCTGAAGTCATGAATCATCTGGAGGCTGCCTTTACACAGCGGCATCTCTGGGAGGCAGTCTACTGAGCTTCAGCTGATGGAGGCTGCAGCCTAAATCCACGCTTGTGCCACCATGGCTCTACGTGACTGGTAACACCGGGGCTGCCCTTGGACCTGTTTGGTACTCTCAGCTGTGCATTTGTTGCAGGGCTGCAATGTAGGTGCTTTCTTGGTTAAAAAACCAAAACACTGTTTTTTTGTAGCATGGAGGATTCTGTGCAGTTTTATGTGCAACAATCTCACCCAGCTCATATGAATCCATCTTCTATGACATGAGAAGGCTTTTATACTAATATAATGATATTTACCATTGACAATGTAGGTAGGGTTGTACACCATCATGGCTTATACGGTTGCTCTGTCGCCTAATGCCTCCTCCCCACCTGGAGAGTGGGGTCAGGAAAAGGAAAGGAGATTTGTGGGTTGAAATCAAAATATATTTAATAGAATAATAATAACAAAACCTAATTAATAACAGTTATAACATAAAATACACAGTTATACTCAGCCAATATTGTGGATCAGTAGACCTCAGAGGTAGGACGGTAAACAAGTCCCTCTTGAGATATCAGCCATGGAAGAGGAAAGAAGGAGGAAGAAGGGGGGGTCATCCCCAGGAAACTCCCCAATTTATAGTAAGTGTGACATTTATGATATGGAATAGTATTAATTGATCAGACTGGGGTCAGCTCCTCTGGATTTCCACTCCCCCCAGTCTCTGCACCTGTTTATCTCAAGACTGCTGAAGGCCTTGAGCATCACTTACCAACATTAGCTGAAACCTATAACAAAGTTTTAGCACTTTGTTCCCATGAAACAGAGTGTTGTAGTCCTTACAAAAATGCAATTTTCCTCAACAGAAATCTGACTTTAAAATTATGTCCCCATAAACCAGAACAACATTGTAACCATTTTATTTTAAATAAATATAAATACCTCCTCAAGTAGCATGCCATAATATTCTTTCCTGAACCAAGACTAACAGCAACAATTATTTCTTTATTACCTGAAAAATGTCTGTGCAGAGAAGTGGAAGAGTTTGCTTTTGGAGGCACAGGCAACAGACATCAGCTGTGACTGCAGCTGGAGTGAGACTGAACCAATCTATTTTGAAGCACTTCACAGGTGAGCATCCCCACACAAACGTCAGGTTTAGTTCCTTTATCTTCAGAATGCTCCTACTACTGGTGCTACTCCTATCTTAAGCCACAAGCCAAGTCATTCCCTGTCCAACTGCATGTCCAGATGTGCTGTGCAGGTAGAGGAGTTGCAACAACCTGTGCAGCCGCTCACTGTTTATGAGCAGAGCTCCAGCTCTAGCTGGAGGCACTGGGACACCACGCAGCACAGCAAACATAGGAATAAGAGCACTGTTTTAACTGCAAAATCATTTTCCTCTTCCTCCTGAAGCCTGGTACAGAGATAACTGGCCACAGTCACGTGCCTGGAGCTGGAATGAGCACTTGGTTTCACTGTGTTTCCTGAGACTGGTTAAGCCACAGGTTTGACACATTTATAACTGTGTATAAGCATACATATATTTAAGTGTATTCATCTTTTTGGGAACCTGCTGGGAAAAGTTTGGATTTATTAGATTATTTCAGCCTGCTTTAACCACTGCAGGTGTCCTTTCTTCTAGCCACCTTTGGTTCCTGGCTTTGGCTGTATCGACTAAACACCACTTAAAACTTTATTCCTAACACCAAGGGCACTGTGTCCCAATGCACTTTAATGGCTGTGGTTGCCGGCTGCTTCAGGAAAGGCACTGCTCTTCTCTGCCTCACCACTTTGGGTCACATCAAGCAACCATGATCCAAGGGACAGACTTCTCTTGGTGACTGTGACTCTGTTCCCACAGTGAGACCTCAGAGTCTCCAGTCCCCCTCACACTACATGTAGCTGATGTACACACCAGCACTGTGCCTGGTACAGACACCCACAGAGGGGTCCCCCCACCCAAAAAGTGTTAGAGCTATGACTGCTACAAGTGGAAGAGCCACTGGTGCAGCTGCAAATGGCACTGCAATGGGTGCTGCTAGTCTGTGGTCATGGTTAAATCAGACAGAGATCGCAGTTAATGTGCAACGAAAATCCTGTGAGTGGTGCCCACATTCTTGCCTTCTCCCTAGTACCTGAGAACAGATTCCCAGCTTAGCATGGAAAACATACAACAAAAAAATAAGCATCAGTCATTCCTCATTCTCTAATAGAGTTCATAAAGTAGTATCTGTGCATGCAGGAGATTGCTTGAGAAAGAGGAAGCATGCATATGTGCATCTGCCTGTGTGTGTGAGCTCGTTTGTCCCCTGCCAAAAGGGACAACATGGGTTTGTCCCCATTGCAGCACTGCTAGAGACAGAGCCATTGCAATCAACCATTTTGGGCAAGGTCTGCCTTCTGTCCCCGAATCCTTGTGGCACACAGTCACGTTAAACCACACTCAGAGTGTTGGTGAGCTCCTGGGTGGCTGGAGATGAATTGCACCACAAATATTACACTTATGAAAGTAACATCACCTGCTTTATTGCAACAGTAATATTTCTCTGCACTACCTGAGCAAGACAACTACTAATCATGAAAGTGTGAAAATTCTTCCCAATCCGGGGATCCCAAATTAGCCCTTTTTTTCAGAGACTGTTCCATATTATTTCAGTTGTTTGAGATATCTTTACAGCTCTAATCTAGTATCTCCCTGCCTGATGGCTGCTGCGCAGCTCATCACTTGCAGGGCTGGCAGTTTCCAGCATTGCATCTCTCACTGGTTTGTCAAGGGTATAAATAAGCAAAGTCCTTATTGCAAAGTTGGTTATAAATTACAGATGCATTAGAATCTAAAAGGTTTCCTCTGCCTTGCTGTGCAATATCCACCCTCACTGAAGTTTTTTTTTTTACCACTGTGTGGCACTAAATGCAGACGTTTTATTACCCACTGAGCCCAACATTACATATATATAGAGACAGAATGTAAAAAATTTGTTAAGATTTAAAAAAAAAAAATAGAAGTGCCAATTTTATGTCTAAAGAAACACTGTACATCCCATCGAGAGCGTTTCAGTGATTGCAGAGGAAGCAGCAGGAGCCAAGAGCCATGCAAAGGCTCCATCTCTGGGGCTTTCGGCAGGGTTTAGCTGCAGCATCCCAGTCTCACCCTTGTGAAAGTTGTTTCCCCTTATTTGTAAATTGCAAATCCCTTGTGCAATTATTGTAGTATCATTCTACACCCCACTGAGATTGCTTTTACAACACATCTTTTAAAGATCATACTGGTGAAAAGCTCCTGTCTTGTCAGCCAAGAGATTCACGTTATTACTCCATCTTATCTGTTGGAATTTTAAACCAGGCTGTTCAGCAGTGAGAGCTGTATATCAGCAGCAGCAATGCTGTAATTTACCCCATATTCCACTTTTATTTTCTGAACTTCCTGCCCCCTATGTCCAATACCTAATACAATTTCACTCACTCTCTAACGCCATTTTGCCCGTTTCCCCGATTTTGTGCAGGTTTTATCTGTGCTCATAGGGCATTTGAAGATCTGGTTTACCCTGCTTAGCTGCCATTCTGCTTGCAGCAGCATAAACCTGCTTTGTAACCACTTCACCTCCCAGAATTGGTGTACTCCTTCTGTGAAGAAGTACCTGAGCTATTCCTCTTGCCACCAGCTCAAGTGTGCTGTGAAACAAGAGGGCTGTTATTTTTCTATTAGTATTTTCCTGCAGACCCCAATCCTGCAAGCTCTTGTGTTGGGCTCTCATGAGGCCCCCTGGCCCCACCAATACCTGTGAGAACATCTGGAGAGCCCAAAGACAGTGCCCAGGAGCACAGGAATGCTGTGTACTGCTCTGCTAACCTGAGGGAGATGTGCATGTTCAGAGCTGCGGAAAGAGGGGGAAGAAAGAAGAAAAGGGAGTTGGATTTTTTTTTCTTTTTCCCTGCAGATCTTTCAAAAGCTGTAACTCGGCGATGAATATTCATTTCAATGTAGTACTGAAAATTCAACTGATGACACCTAGGAGAGAAAGTGATCCAGGAATAAAAGAAATTAACATATAGCTCCCACCTTACCATAGAACAAAAGTGACTTTTCAGAATATATTATTTAACCTGAAAGCATTTGAGCAGAGTCACTTTAATATCTTTCAATCCATTAATTTTCTTCCCCAGTATTATTAATTTTCACTATGAATCTACAGTTTACCCAGAATATATTGTGTATTTCCTTCCCTGGATAAACTTTTGTCATTCAAGGTTCAAGCTGCAGAAATGCTGGACCTGGTTTTATACCTACTATTTGATCTCAGCTCTTAGGCCTAAACATATTATGTAGGATGAGATAGTTTAAGAAACAGTTTAGGTACCTGTAAGAGAAAGGAAAAGACAACATAAAGAGCAGCACAGCAAATGCAAGCTAACAAGTTGCGGACAGCACGTTTTACTTAGTTATGTTAATGGCAAACATAAAGATACGGGTAAAGATATTACCAGCAAATGGTGATATGGGAAATAATCATCTGTGATGAGTTTCAAATCAGGCAAAACTTAAAGGTAGAGGTCAGAAAGTCAGTGAAGCAGCAAACCAGGCAATAGGTATTTTTGTTATCTTATACAGAAAAAATATAAATCTGCATTAACAGTAGATACCTTTTAGAGGTTACAATAC